CCCTGCTTTGATACATCCAATATGTCGAATCCAGGCGCGGAGGATTCTCTACGAGCGCATGCTGCCCAGATACCAGGACGGGTATTGAGCGCGGCTGAGACAGTTTGAGCGTTGCATTAGCAAAGTCATTGAGCCGTCGGAGTGCAGTCCCATCTCTGTGAAGGACCGCCACTTTCACTTTTCGCGAGTGGTCAACCTTTGGAGGTGCCGTGCTTCATTTGTCTAACAAATGCCCATGCGGGAGCATTCGTGCTGCCAACCAGCGCTTGGTCCGTTTCTGCAAAGCATATGTACTGTGGCAACCCGGCCAAAGGTACAGGCAGCGAGACACAACTCCGTTGGCTATACTGGAGTGCTCCCAACTTGAATTGTTTGATGTCACAGATCAATAACGGACAGGTTGTCAAAGCTGTGATCGTGATGTACAGAGGTTGCGTTTTTGTTGCAACATGGCTGTGGGTCAAAGCCAATGGTAGGAATTTGGGGCAGGTGCACCACCCATTTTAGTCTATTTTAGTGGAGATTGGGATGTTCACTGGGGGTACGGGCTTTTTTGACCCATGGCCACATGTTCTACCCGGTTGGGCGATGCCATGACTGGCGACCTGAAGGTACGTGGATAGACCTGGCGAGACGCGTCCTGCCAACCCGGTGGGAGCTGCTGGGGGCCACGGGGACAGAAAAACTGGGAAGCGCATGCCATTGAATCCTTGTGAGCCTGGCTTTGTGCAAGAGCGTGAGGCGAGGAAGCAGTACGTGGCCATGGAGAACAGGCCTTACATTGGACACGGGCGTGCATGCTTGGCCTCGCAACGAGTTGTGCTCTTGAAACCTGAGCTTAGGTTCCTTCAGACACGACGAGGCAGAAGGAAACACCTGGCTGAGGTGCAGAGGACAGCGCCAGGTGTCTACTTGAGACCCGAGACTGGCCACTTGTTGGGTTGCAGATACCACTTTGGAGCCAGGATGCTGGACAGCAAGAGGGAGCCACCTTTGGACGCTGCTTGGAAGCATGTCTTGCTGGCATTTGCATACTCTGGTCATGCAGGTGCGGATAAGCCCCCACGAACACGTAGCTTGCCAGTAGGTTCGTCTCAGAGGACAATTCTCCCAGCGGGCCTTCCTCAGCTACGAGAGAATCATTGTCTTTCTCCGCTTCTCTCTCCCTCCCTCCCTCTCTCCCTCCCTCCCTCCCTCCCTCCCTCCCTCCCTCCCTCCCTCCCTCCCTCCCTCCCTCACAGGACGCCTTGTGCTGTACGCAGCATCCTGAGGCTGCGGTGCTCGAGCGCTGCCGCTTCGAATGTACAAAGTACCAGGCCGGAATGGGGGCAAGGCATAGCATAAAAGTTCATCATATATTCATGAAGTAGATGTCATATGGCAATCATAAACTTAGGAGCATACACACAGATACACCCGGGCGAGATGGCTTGGCCTGTCAGGGCTTGCCGAGTCCTGTCCGGCACCAAGGGCATGGGGCACGTCCGCTGTGAGTTGCCTTGGACATATGCGCTGAGGATGTCGAGTGATCAGCTGCATCTTGAAAGCAAAACAGCTCCTTGCAGCATCCCGCTACGCCACATGGGTTGACAGGATTGTCTCAGAACACTTTACGCTGAAGGGCAGAGCGCTTGTTGAAACCATGAGGTTTGTGCCTGGTGTGTGCTCAAGCCAAGTGGCGCACGGCGTGTGTGAAGTTCCTTCAATGAAGGTTCTGACAGGGGGGAGGATGAACGAGCGTTCAAGAGGCTGAGCCGATGACTTGAGCCGGCTCTGGGCCTTCATTCCTTGTTACGCTGGCCACAGACCCCTTGTCTCACGCACAGTCTGTGTGACCCTTGGCTAGGTCAGCTAGCACTTGCATGTAGCAATACAATCGCAGAAGTGTAGCGGGCCGCGCTTGTGTGCATGGTGCTGGGCAGATGTTCCTGCGACTGCCTAAAGATGGGTGGAGGTTGGCTTCGACTAGTTCTGGTTGGCGGAGCTTGTGTTTCTGGTGGGCTGAGGGTTTGCCGGGGACTGTAATTCGGCAGGATACCATTGTTGCAGTGTCGGCAGTTTTCCTTGCTTCTCTCACGCAGTGCATGACCGGAAGCCCAGCGGCAAAAAGAGTCCTGTTCTTTTTCTTGACTGTCCTTCAGCAGCATTTAGTCACTCTCATATCCAGCGTACGCTGGACAGTTTCTTGGAGGGTGCTTGGCACAGCCCTTGTCATGACTGAACGCAAGCAAGAGAAGCCGAACAGCAGCAATGAGTCGAAGCAGCACTGAAGCAAGCAATGCAGCAAACATACACAACGACAGGCGGTTTGCTTTTGATGTTTTCCAGCACGTGCAATGAGAGCGCTTGTTGAAACCATGAGGTTTGTGCCTGGTGTGTGCTCAAGCCAAGTGGCGCACGGCGTGTGTGAAGTTCCTTCAATGAAGGTTCTGACAAGGGGGAGGATGAACGAGCGTTCAAGAGGCTGAGCCGATGACTTGAGCCGGCTCTGGGCCTTCATTCCTTGTTACGCTGGCCACAGACCCCTTGTCTCACGCACAGTCTGTGTGACCCTTGGCTAGGTCAGCTAGCACTTGCATGTAGCAATACAATCGCAGCAGTGTAGCGGGTTGCGCTTGTGTGCATGGTGCTGGGCAGATGTTGCTGCAACTGCCTAAAGATGGGTGGAGGTTGGATTCGACTAGTTCTGGTTGGCGGAGCTTGTGTTTCTGGTGGGCTGAGGGTGTTTGCCGGGGGCTGTAATTCGGCAGGATGCCACGGTTGTTGTGGTGTCGTGTTCTTTTCAATCTTTGTAGGAGTCTCACACAGTGCATGACGGAAGCCCAGCGGCAAAAAGGAGTCCTATTGCTTTTCTTGACTGTCCTTCAGCAGCATTTAGCCATTGGCACGTCACGCATGCGGGCAGTTGCCATGAGGGTGCTTGGTAGACCACAACCCTTGTCATGATTGAATGAAAGCAAGAGAAGCCGAACAGCAGCAATGAGTTGAAGCAGCACTGAAGCAAGCAATGCAGCAAACATACACAACGACAAGCAGTTTGCTTTTGATGTTTTCCAGCCCCGTGCAACGAATGGCAGAGCGTTTCTCGAAATCATGAGGTTTGTGCCTGGTGTGTGCTCAAGCCAAGTGGCGCACGGCGTGTGTGAAGTTCCTTCAATGAAGGTTCTGACAAGGGGGAGGATGAACGAGCGTTCAAGAGGCTGAGCCGATGACTTGAGCCGGCTCTGGGCCTTTATTCCTTGTTACGCTGGCCACAGACCCCTTGTCTCACGCAGAGTCTGTGCGACCCTTGGCTAGGTCATCTAGCACTTGCATGTAGCATTGTACCATCGCAGCAGTGTAGCGGCCTGCGCTTAGTGTAGCTCGGCAGATGTTCCTGCAACTGCCTAAAGATGGGTGGAGGTTGGATTCGACTAGTTCTGGTTGGCGGAGCTTGTGTTTCTGGTGGGCTGAGGGTGTTTGCCGGGGGCTGTAGTTCGGCAGGATGCCACGGTTGTTGTGGTGTCGTGTTCTTTTCAATCTTTGTAGGAGTCTCACACAGTGCATGACGGAAGCCCAGCGGCAAAAAAGAGTCCTATTGCTTTTCTTGACTGTCCTTCAGCAGCATTTAGCCATTGCCATGTCACACATGCGGGCAGTTGCCATGAGGGTGCTTGGTAGACCACAACCCTTAGCAAGCAAGGGAAGCCGAACAGCAGCAATGAGTTGAAGCAGCACTGAAGCAAGCAATGCAGCAAACATACACAACGACAAGCAGTTTGATTTTGATGTTTTCCAGCCCCGTGCAACGAATGGCAGAGCGTTCCTCGAAACCATGAGGTTTGTGCCTTGTGTGTGCTCAAGCCAAGTGGCGCACGGCGTGTGTGAAGTTCCTTCAATGAAGGTTCTGACAAGGGGGAGGATGAACGAGCGTTCAAGAGGCTGAGCCGATGACTTGAGCCGGCTCTGGGCCTTCATTCCTTGTTACCCTGGCCACAGACCCCTTGTCTCACGCACAGTGCGTGTGACCCTTGGCTAGGTCAGCTAGCACTTGCATGTAGCGTTGTACCATCGCAGCAGTGTAGCGGGCCACGCTTGTGTGCATGAAGCTGGGCAGATGTTCCTGCGACTGCCTAAAGATGGGTGGAGGTTGGATTCGACTAGTTCTGGTTGGCGGAGCTTGTGTTTCTGGTGGGCTGAGGGTGTTTGCCGGGGACTGTAATTCGGCAGCATACCATTTGCAGTGTCGGCAGTTGTTCTTGCTTCTCTCACGCAGTGCATGACGGAAGCCCAGCGGCAAAAAGAGTCCTGTTCGTTTTCTTGACTGTCCTTCAGCAGCATTTAGCCATTGCCATATCACGTATGCTGGACAGTTTCTTGGAGGGTGCTTGACAGACCCCAGCCCGTGTTATGTCTGAATGCAAGCAAGGGAAGCCGAACAGTAGCAATGAGTTGAAGCAGCACTGAAGCAAGCAATGCAGCAAACATACACAACGACAAGCAGTTTGATTTTGATGTTTTCCAGCCCCGTGCAACGAATGGCAGAGCGTTCCTCGAAACCATGAGGTTTGTGCCTGGTGTGTGCTCAAGCCAAGTGGCGCACGGCGTGTGTGAAGTTCCTTCAATGAAGGTTCTGACAAGGGGGAGGATGAACGAGCGTTCAAGAGGCTGAGCCGATGACTTGAGCCGGCTCTGGGCCTTCATTCCTTGTTACGCTGGCCACAGACCCCTTGTCTCACGCACAGTCTGTGTGACGCTTGGCTAGGTCAGCTAGCACTTGCATGTAGCATTGTACCATCGCAGCAGTGTAGCGGCCCGCGCTTGGTGTAGCTGGGCAGATGTTCCTGCAACTGCCTACAGATGGGTGGAGGTTAGATTCGACTAGTTCTGGTTGGCGGAGCTTGTGTTTCTGGTGGGCTGAGGGTGTTTGCCGGGGGCTGTAATTCGGCAGGATGCCACGGCTGTTGTGGTGTCGTGTTGTTTTCAAGCTTTGTAGGAGTCTCACACAGTGCATGACGGAAGCCCAGCAGCAAAAAAAATCCCGTTCTTTTGTTTGATTGTCCTTCAGCAGCATTTAGCCACTCTCTAACATCAAGCATTCTGGACAGTTTCTTGAAGGGTGCGTGGCAGACCACAGTCTTTGTCATGATTGAATGCAAGCAAGAGAAGCCGAGCAGCAATGAGTTGAAGCAGCACTGAAGCAAGCAATGCAGCAAACATACACAACGACAAGCAGTTTGATTTTGATGTTTTCCAGCCCCGTGCAACGAATGGCAGAGCGTTCCTCGAAACCATGAGGTTTGTGCGTTGTGTGTGCTCAAGCCAAGTGGCGCACGGCGTGTGTGAAGTTCCTTCAATGAAGGTTCTGACAAGGGGGAGGATGAACGAGCGTTCAAGAGGCTGAGCCGATGACTTGAGCCGGCTCTGGGCCTTTATTCCTTGTTACGCTGGCCACAGACCCCTTGTCTCACGCACAGTCTGTGCGACCCTTGGCTAGGTCAGCTAGCACTTGCATGTAGCGTTGTACCATCACAGCAGTGTAGCGGGCCGCGCTTAGTGTAGCTGGGCAGATGTTCCTGCAACTGCCTAAAGATGGGTGGAGGTTGGATTCGACTAGTTCTGGTTGGCGGAGCTTATGTTTCCGGGGGGCTGAGGGTGTTTGCCGGGGGCTGTAATTCGGCAGGATGCCACGGCTGTTGTGGTGTCGTGTTGTCTTCCAGCTTTGTAGGAGTCTCACACAGTGCATGACGGAAGCCCAGCAGCAAAAAGAATCCCGTTCTTTTTTTTGATTGTCCTTCAGCAGCATTTAGCCACTCTCTAACATCAAGCATTCTGGACAGTTTCTTGAAGGGTGCGTGGCAGACCACAGTCTTTGTCATGATTGAATGCAAGCAAGAGAAGCCGAACAGCAGCAATGAGTTGAAGCAGCACTGAAGCAAGCAATACAGCAAACATACATAACGACAGGCGGTTTGCTTTTGATGTTTTCCAGCCCCGTGCAACGAAGGGCACAGCGTTCCTCGAAACCATGAGCTTTGTGCCTTGTGTGTGCTCAAGCCAAGTGGCGCACGGCGTGTGTGAAGTTCCTTCAATGAAGGTTCTGACAAGGGGGAGGATGAACGAGCGTTCAAGAGGCTGAGCCGATGACTTGAGCCGGCTCTGGGCCTTCATTCCTTGTTACGCTGGCCACAGACCCCTTGTCTCACGCACAGTGCGTGTGAATCTTGGCTAGGTCAGCTAGCACTTGCATGTAGCATTGTACCATCGCAGCAGTGTAGCGGGCCGCGCTTATGTGCATGTAGCTGGGCAGATGTTCCTGCGACTGCCTAAAGATGGGTGGAGGTTGGATTCGACTAGTTCTGGTTGGCGGAGCTTATGTTTCCGGGGGGCTGAGGGTGTTTGCCGGGGGCTGTAATTCGGCAGGATGCCACGGCTGTTGTGGTGTCGTGTTGTTTTCAAGCTTTGTAGGAGTCTCACACAGTGCATGACGGAAGCCCAGCGGCAGAAAGAATCTCTTTTTTTTTTTCCTTCCCCTTTTTTTTCCTTCTTTATTCTTTTCCTTTTTTGTTTTTTGTTTCCCCGTTTTTATTTGACTGTGTCCTTCAGCGGCATCTAGCCATTGCCATATCACGTATGCTGGACAGTTTCTTGGAGGGTGCTTGGCAGACCACAGCCCTTGTCATGATTGAATGCAAGCAGGAGAAGCCGAACAGCAGCAATGAGTCGAAGCAGCACTGAAGCAAGCAATACAGCAAACATACATAACGACAGGCGGTTTGCTTTTGATGTTTTCCAGCACGTGCAATGAAGGGCACAGCGTTCCTCGAAACCATGAGGTTTGTGCGTTGTGTGTGCTCAAGCCAAGTGGCGCACGGCGTGTGTGAAGTTCCTTCAATGAAGGTTCTGACAAGGGGGAGGATGAACGAGCGTTCAAGAGGCTGAGCCGATGACTTGAGCCGGCTCTGGGCCTTTATTCCTTGTTACGCTGGCCACAGACCCCTTGTCTCACGCACAGTGCGTGTGAATCTTGGCTAGGTCAGCTAGCACTTGCATGTAGCATTGTACCATCGCAGCAGTGTAGCGGCCCGCGCTTGGTGTAGCTGGGCAGATGTTCCTGCAACTGCCTACAGATGGGTGGAGGTTAGATTCGACTAGTTCTGGTTGGCGGAGCTTGTGTTTCTGGTGGGCTGAGGGTGTTTGCCGGGGGCTGTAATTCGGCAGGATGCCACGGCTGTTGTGGTGTCGTGTTGTTTTCAAGCTTTGTAGGAGTCTCACACAGTGCATGACGCAA